TTTCCATGAATTTCATGGAAATGAATGATGAGCTTTCTGTAGGCTCTAATTTTTCTGTAATAACAAAATATTTTACAAAGCTTTTATTTTATCATATTAAAAAATCTTCAGTATTTGAAAAAAGCAAAACATGAAATTAAGGATAAAATGTTTTAGTGGTGTTTATCTTATATATAAATAACACAGATTTGAGTAGGCATTTTTCAGTGAAAAATATGTTCCTTTGTTCATTAAATATTTATTAAGCTCATTTTATTGCTAGGAACTGTGGCAGTCGCTGGTTTTATTTATTTAAAAAAATTTTTTTTAATGTTTTTATTTCTGAGAGAGAGAGAGATCGATCGATCTTGAGCAGGGGAGGGTCAGAGAGAGAGGGAGACACAGAATCTGAAACAGGCTCCAGGCTCTGAGCTGTCAGCATAGAGCCTGATGTGGGGCTCAAACCCACAAACCGTGAGATCATGACCTGACCAGAAGTCGGACGCTTAACTGACTGAGCCACCCAGGCGCCCCGGTTTTATATTGATAAACAAAACAGGAATGCTTTCTCCACTCAGGTATCTCAATTTCTCACATGGGAGATAGGTAAACAAAGCAAATATGTAATGCCAAAATCTGCTAGGTGTCTTTGAGTGAAGAAATGGAGTAAGAGACCAAGGGGATCTGTAGGAATTATATGGTAGTCAGTGTGGCTACTGGAGGGGATACTTTTAAGCTGAGGTTTCAAGGATAAGGAGCTGACCATGTCAAGAACAGGCCAGTAGCATTCTAAGTAGAGAAAATAGCATCTGAGAAGGCTGGGCAAGAACAAGTCTAGAGACAGGAAGTAATATGGCTGTAGCATCCTGTCCACTGGGTAGGTACCCACAGATTTGATGGCTGCCTGCATGAATGAATACAGCAGAAGGAGAGGGCCATTAGTCGACTGCACAGTGGCTCTCTCCAATTGCAGAATGGTCGTTTCCTCAGATGCTACACCACGTGGCTTCTCATTCCATTCCCCTGTGGGCTGGGACTTGTCCTGTTGAGGTTTCCCTCCATAGGATTATTAGAGGGATTTAGTAGTATTTAAAAATAATTGATTTACAATGCCTGAATACATCTAATAGTTACCTGGTAGTTGTGAAAATTAAATGAATGGGAAAATACTTCAGAAACTAAGAAGCCTCATATCGGTAAAGGTTTTGATTGAGGCTTTGTTGAGGGAGCCAAGGATAGAGTGTACCCTTGGTCTTCAGTGCTGAGAGATGGGGTCAGATGGTGATATCTTTGATCCCTGAGCTGTCTGTCCTGTGTCTTCCCCTTCTCATTTTTCTGTGGATACAAATGTTATAGTCCTGGATGATGCCTCAGACCCCAAACTGTCTATCAAATTGGTGATGGAATTCTAAGAAAGGCTTAGGAGTCCAAGTAGCTGCAGTTAACAATCTTAAGTAAAACATATTAAAGTAGTCTCCAAACTTTTTTCACTCTGTGCTTTGGCAGGTTTTGAAACTTTGAATTTAATTTTGAGTTTTCAGAAGTTTTCCTTTTTTTTTTTTTTTTTTAAGGTGCTGATTATTTGAGTGCCAGTCACTGAGGTTTGTCATCTTGCTAAAGGGACTATGCTTAATCATATCACTCATTCATTTGACAGATTCTTTTTTTTAGTGCCGTACTTGTCTCTGTATAGTTGCTGATCATGTAGTAAAGGATGAAACACTCTTGGACTTTGTCCTTGTAAAGCATAAGGTATAGTGTGGGAGACAGACTTTGAGCAAGCAAACAAATGTATGTATGTTACAATTAGAGATTCTGTTCATTGTTAAGAGGAAAAGGAGAGTGTGCTTTGAGAGAGGATAACTTTGTCATCTGCTTTGGATTGTGTCATCAGGGAAGGAATATTTGTGTAGGTAGTACGGGGGGATCTCTGAAAGAGAAGTCATTAGCAAAGGGAATAGAGGGGTAATGGAAGGTCCTAAGATCTCCCTATAGATGTTGATTATTTTTATTCTGAGCTGAAAGATTATAGGTACTCTTGAGCTCTAGCTTATCACCATTCACAATGTAAGGTACGTAGAGCTCACAACAAAATCTTGATTTACAGAATTATTGCTGACATTGTGTGGGAAGATCTGTGTTTACCTGACTTCAAGTAGGACAGAGATCAATGTGACATGAGTGCAAAGTGTTTAATTTGTTCAATGTATAATTATTGTGTTTAATATTTCTCTACCATTTAAGGCTGGGAATTTAAAAAGCCCTTGGGTTTTAAAAATCAACTGACTATTGGATGTTTCAATGTCAAGAAAATATAGATCAAGGGAAGTTAAAAAGAAGCAGATGATGGAAAAAGAGCTGAGTAGTTAGTTGTGCTTATAGTTTCAAAGTCTTTATTTTACTTCATAACTAATTCAAATGTTTATATGTGAAAATGTCTGCGCTGATGAACTTTGAAACTTTTCTCTCCATTTGGTCAAGTTTGCTCTAATTTTATGGGAAGCAGAATAGATCAGTGTGGGAGGCTCACTGTATTTCACTGGAGTGATCCATGTTTGGTGCTCAGAAAACAGCTGGGAAGACAAGTTCTCCACACTTGTAGAAGTTATTTTTCTATCTTTAAATTTTATGAAAATCACTGAATGTTATACCAGTCTCTTATTTATACAAAAGGAAAAGGTAGACGTGATTGTTATTTATGCATTTGTTTAGAAACGACTTTATTTAAACAGAAAATTAGCTTTCATATATGATCTGTGTTAAAAGCCAAAAATATCTATATTGTGTCAAGTAGAGAAAAGACACTTAGAGAATAGGATTATCTCACTTCAGGGAAGGCTTCTGAAACAAACAAAATAAAAAGAAGCCCATGTGGGATTGGTTCTTCATTTTTCCCTTAAATAGTCAGAAAAAGTTTTTTTCTTTTCAACCTAAGTAGGAAACATGTGATTACATTATTTGTTTTGTTGCTCATTTTCAGTAATCATTTTAAACTGCATTTGTCTTTCATCTGATTCTTTTTTTTTTTTTTTTTTAATCTATTTCTGAGAGAGAGAGACAGCATGCGCAGGGGAGGGTCAGAGAGGGAGGGAGACACAGAATCTGAAACAGGCTCCAGGCTCCAGCTGTCAGCACAGAGCCCGACGTGGGGCTCAAACCCATGAATCATGAGATCACGACGTGTGCCGAAGTCGGACTCTTAACTGACTGAGCCACCCAGGGGCCCCTCATCTGATTCTTTTTGAAAAATGTTAACATTTTAGTGAATTTTGGATGATTGTAAAGGATTTTGTATACAGGGCTTTTTTTCAGCTCATTTGATGAAAATTGAGTAATTTATCTCTATGAATTCAGTTGACAAAGCTTTGTTATTTTAGCAAAATATTGCTAAATGCTCCAAAGCAAAAGTTAAGGTAAAATAAGATAAATGCTGTAAGCTTAATGAAGGATGAAAGCTTATGTTATCTTTTTAAAAATATTAATTAATTTTTAAGTAAACTCTACTCCCAGCATGGGGCTTGAACTCATGACCCCGAGATTAAGAGCCACATGCTTTACCAACTGAGCCAGCCAGGTGCCCGTATATTATCTTTATTAAAGGGTTATTTCCATTAGGGGAAATGGGTGCAGTGATAGTGTTTCTGACTACACTTTGTTTTCCACTCAACCTTATTAATGTGGATATTAATACTGTTAACAATATCATTGTTTTATTTAGTTAAGTTTTGTACTTGAATATATTTGATATATGATGTTACATTGGTTCTAGATGTACAATATAGTGAATCAATGTCTCTATAAGTTATGCTGTGCTCAGCACAAGTGTATCTACCATCTGTCACCATACAACAGTATTATAGTGTCATTGGCTACATTCCCTATGCTGTATCTTCTATTCCCATGATCTATTCATTCTATAACTGGGAAGCCTGGATCTCCCTTCACCCATTTTACCCATCCTCCTACCCCTCACCCCTCTGGCAACCATCAAATGTCTATATAGGTTTGATTCTGCTTTTTGTTTGTTCATTTGTTTTGTTTTTTAGATTCCACATATGAGTGAAATCATAAGGTATTTGTGTTTCTTGGTTTGACTTACTTCACTTAGCATAATGTTCTCTAGGTCCATCCATGTTGGATCTTGCCACATGCCACAATTGGCAAGATCTCCTCCTTTTTTATGGCTGCACTATATTCTGTTATATGTGTGTGTGTATATATATATGTATATGTATACACACACACACCACATCTTTATCCATTCATCTATGGATGGACACTTGGGTTGCTGCCATATCTTGGCTACTGTAAATAATGCTGCAGTAAACATAGGGTGCATATATTTTTCCAAAATCCTGTTGCTTTTTGTTTGTTTTTTGTTGTTGGTAAATACTTTGTAGTGGAATTATTCAATCTTAGTGGTATTTTTAATTTTCTGAGGAAACTCCATACTGTTTTGCACAGTGGTTGTACTGATTTACATTTCCACCACAGTGCATGAGGGTCCCTTTTTCTCCACATCTTCAATACTTGTTATTTCTTATCACTTTGATTCTAGCCATTCTGAAAGGTGTAAGGCACTATCTCTTTGCAGTTTTGATTTGCATTTCCCTGATTATTAGTGATATTGAGCATCTTTTCTTGTGTCTGTTGGCCATCTGAATATCTTGTTTGGAAAAATGCCTATTTATCCCATTGTATATTCTTGCCTTCTTTGTGGTAGATTAACTGACCATATAAATGTGGGTTTATTTCTGGGATCTCCCGTTCCTTTGATCTGTGCCCGTTTTTGTGCCAATACCAACAGAATCATTGTTTTAAATATGTTAACTGATTAGAAAGTGTCATTTATGTATCATTAGTCACATACCATTGCCAGAACTGTACATTGTCATAGCCTATGTTTTTTACACTGATTAATAACAAATAGGAATGTACTAAACACAGTTACATTACAAATGTATTTAAAAGCCAAATTCATGATACTTGAATGTTGGATAACAATTTCATATATCTTACAGAAAACGCATGTTTCAGAAGAGATGGGTGAAATTTGATGGCCTTAGCATTTCTTATTACAATAATGAGAAGGTAAGTACATTTTATATTTCTCAAAGGTTGTCTTATATATATATATAAGGTGTATTTTAGCATACTAAGCTAGCAATTTGATTTTTAAGAACAAGAGTTGGATTGTCAAAATGAAAAGAGTTTACACAGGATGAAACATTTGTTTCATGTTTAACTTTTCCTTGACACATGCAATCTTGATTAAAAAAATATACTCCCAACAATTATTTATGGAGTGTCTTCTACAAGCTATAGGAATTGTGAACGACCTAAGAATGGATAAGAAATGGCCTTTCTCCTAGAGAGCACTAAGGAATGTTTACAAGAGGGTACTACAGGGAGGAAATGGCAACACCAAGAGAGGTTACTTTGTACTCTGGAAGGATGTGGAAGAACCAGAGAAGGCTCCTTACATGAGATTTCCTTTGCCATGAGTCTTGACAAAAGAGGAACATTTGTGCATTGAGACTAGAGAACAGAACATGCCTATTTAGAGAACAATAACATGTCCAGGTGGGAAATCAATTTTCTGGTTAGAATATATGAAGGAGACTTGTGGGAGATGAAGCTGAGAAGGTTTTTTGGGTTAGAGCTCATTGAATACCTTGATGTGAAAGTGGTCACAGTTTAGTCTTTAGGTAAGTGAGTCTTAACCACATGATACTGTTTTGATCATGTTTTCATTAGGTATGAGACAGTCTGTATTTTTAGGAGATGTAGGCCGAAATATTTGAAATGTCGTATCTGCACATGTTTTTCAGATGTTACTTACCTATATATTTATATTTACAAATACATATATTTGCTCACACACATAGTTAGGTAAAACAAAAACTGAAGACGTTAACAGTTGTCAGATCTGGGTGGAAAACACATGAATGTCCAGTGTAGTAATCTTTCAACTTCTCTGTGTTTGACGGTTTCCTTAATGAAAAGTGGGAATATATAAATGTATATTTTCAGTTAATTAAAATCTGGTAATTTTATAGTCTTAACTACATACATTCCCTTAACATACTCATTTAACATTTAAGCACATTTTCTTATTTATAGCTTATAATTTAACATTATTTTCTCATAAGGAGATATTCACTTCCTATTGTGATATCTGTGGCTTGAATAGAAACTTAAACTCCCTTGTATATATTGATTCTTCAGTGCTACAGGGCAAAAGAGAATTTGCTTTTAGATAGACAGAATGTAGCATACACTTACATGCTACAATATTAAGAATGATAGAAAGTTCAGAGAAGTATTAATTATTTGGTTACACTTTGGAGGGATCCAAATAAAGCATCAAATAAATTTAAGCACACTTTTATTTAATGTTTATTTATTTTGAGAGGAGAGTGTGCACAATCGGGAGGGGCAGAGAGAGAGGGAGAGAGAATGCCTTTTTTTTTTTTAATGTTTTATTTATTTCTGAGAGAGAAGGAGAGAGACACCGTGAGCAGGGCAAGGTCAGAGAGAGAAGGAGACACAGAATCTGAAGCAGCTCCAGGCTCTGAGCTAGCTGTCGGCACAGAACCCGACTCGGGGCTCAAACCCATGAGCCATGAGATCATGACCTAAGCCGAAGTCAGACACCTAACCGACTGAGCCACCCTGGTGCCCCAAAGAGGGAGAGAGAATTGCAAGTAAGCTCCGTGCTGTTAATGTAGAGCCTGATGTGGGGTTTGGTCCCATGAACCAACTGAACCACTCAGGTGCCCCTAAACATACCTTTTTGAGGTTTGCAAGATGGTGGGATAAATATTTTTTTTTGAAAGCTGTCTTTTTGCCTCAGCTAGTGTTTTTTACTTTGCATGTACATTTGAATGTTGAGACAGTTTTTGCACCAGCCGTGGATACAATGTGGTCTCTGCGTCTACTGAAATCTGACCTCTAGTGTTTTTTCCAGCAGCTGCATGATTCTCTGGTTTGATGGAAATGAGGGGAAGATTGTTCAGGAGGAGACAGGCTTCCATGCCATGAGGCTTTTTTGGTGGTGGTATCATTATCTCCACTTGGGAGAGAGGATTTCTGGTATTTGTGTCCACCTGGGCTCATTCTGTTTGTCCTTTAAACATTCATCTCAGGGAGCCTATGTGGTCAGTTGGTTGAGCACCAGACTTTGACTTAGGTCATGATCTCACGGACTCAACTCATGACACCATAGTTCGTGAGTTTGAACCCCGCATCAGGGCTCTGTGCTGATAGCTCTTAGCCTGGAGCCTATTTCAGATTCTGTCTTCTTCTCTCTCTGCCCCTCCCCCGCTTGTGCTTTGTCTCTGTTTCTTTTTCTTTCTCTCTTTCAAAAAATAAATAAACATTTAAAAAAAATTTTAGAGCTCATTTCAACTGTGGTGAGGAGACAGCTACCTGTCACATTTGCATATGTTGATACAGTGAGATAATGTAGCCTTGGTTTGAAATTGTGATAAAAAGTTCATGTTAAAATGAATGTTTACAAATTCTTTAACTTAACAATTTAAAAAAATTTTTTCATCATTGTTTCTCTGGCATTTCATTCATTTATTATCCAGATGATTGGTTTCATCTTGGCAAAAATTAAAATACTGGAATGTTTCCTAAAAGGAGATACCGTTTCTTTGTGACTCTCTTGCAGGAGAGTGGATTGGATTGGAGGACTGGGAAGAGGGTGTTTTAAGGCCAATGTAGAGAAGGCACAGGTGTGGGCATCGCTACTGTCCCCGGTCAGTGTGTCATTTTTGTGGTCATGTGCACCCAGTAGTTAGGCTTTTCAGTGTTTTAAAGGTGCACCCGAGGAGAGTATGGTTGGATAGACCTGTATATTTCCCTGGTTTTCATTCACTTTTGTCAGTGCTGCTCAGTCACGTCTCTGCAAGAACTTTTTCATTGTATTGCTGAAAATGGCATCATCCCAACAGCCCTGATATCTTGTCACCTGCCAAGAAATCTTGACTCACCCCCATTCTCACTCAGCTGTGGGTAGAATTGCCCTGTGGTCGTTTCATTGTCTGAAAGTGGTAGTAGATAAATGACAGACTTGACCTTGATATCTGTGAGTTACAGGCTCAAGGGATGCTTTACAATTTCTGTCCTTAAGGAAAATTTTACACTCTGAAAAACACAATCATTCTAAGCCTGTTGTCTTTTTTCCTCCTCTATATTGTCTTTATCATGTGTTGTTAGAAGTGAAATGTAAAACCAACTCTATATAGTATTAAACGTTATGAGGTTTCTTGGGATCTCATAATAGATTATAAATGAGCCATTAGAGAAACTGTAACTTCTGTAGGTTTGAGGGACATAATAATTAGCTTGTTAAGTACATTTTGATCACTCCTGGGGAATTTATTTGTTTTTCTGTTCCTCTTATAGAGTACTTACCTGTTAAATATGGTATTATTATGACATGTGGGTGGGTTACTTTTTTGAAGGAACTGTTTTTTAATCTCTTTAAGCAGGTCTAGAAGAAGGAAAATCTCCTTTTTAATGATAACATTTTAATTCAACAAATGGTTAATTATCTCACTGGAGATATGTTTTTATAAGCTTCTGTAACTTTTAAGCAACATAAGATTTGAGGATGGATCCCCTTAAAGATGGAGTGTAAATGTTTTTGGACTTTCTAGATTTTTCAGCCTGCTCTCTGCTACTATAGATTTATAGCCAGAGAGGCCCTTGAACTGTCCCCAAAGGTACACTGCTGTTTCCTACATCTGAGGTTGCCTGATGCTGGGGAGACATTTTCCCACTTTTCTTATTCTGGTAGCACTAAGTGCTCTAGTGTTACCTAGTACTGGCATCATAACCCACCTGCATTTATTGGGTTTCCTTTAAGCCAGTCAGTTGTGTATTTCTTTGCATGACTTTGTTTGGCAGTGTCTGGGTATACATGGTGGGGAACGTGAACATATCTTTTTTCCTGTTTTTTCACCTGCATGTTTTTGCTCATTCATCTGAACCTTCTGAGCCATTGCCATCCATCAAAATCCTGTGCAAACTTCAAGATCTATTTTTTATCCCCCTGAATGAAGCTTTTTAAAATATATTCCAACTATGACATTTGCACAATAATATGCAAGAAAGATGAGAAGTAAAAGAAGCTGAAAGTAGGGAGGCAAATCAAGGGAGTATGCAGTAAATCAGACATTAATTTATCAGTGTGGGCTGCGTAGGCCAGTGGAAGTGTTACAGTGAATTTAAAAAAAAAAACATTAAAAATGAGCTGTCAGTTTGAGATGATTGTGATTGGACATAGAATTCATTCATTGGGAAAATACTTCTACAACGCCGATTATGTGAAAGGTATGAGGAAAATAGACATATGTATGACGCATGGTCTCTTTGGGGAGACTGTATTAATGAACTGATTACACAGTAAATATAAAAATCACCATTTGAGTTGTAGTTAGTAATTGCTATAAAGGAAAAATGCAGGTTGCTGTTAGCTTAAATTAAGGTTATCTGCCCAGGTGAGAAGAGGCTGGTCAGAAAACATTTCTTCTGGAGCATCTATTTATGATGAAATGTGAACGATGTAGAGGGAGTAAATATGTGAAGCTGGAGAGGACAACATTCCTTGAAGAACAGAGTAAGCAAAGGCACTGTATTGGGCAGAAACATGGGATGTTAGAACTGTAAAGGAGACTCACGTAACTGGAGAGAGTCCAAGAGTGGAGGGGACAAAGTTGGCATGTCGCTCTGGGGGATCCCGAGTTATGTGGGTGCAAAGGATCAGCACAAATCAAAGTCTATTTAAGACTGACTAGAAGAGTGATATTTAATGAACAGGATATAGAGGAGAAGGGTATGTTTTCAGGAGATAATTTAAAGTTTGAGGTGCTTATGGAATAGTTCCACATACAATTGATGACTTGAAATATGGGGCTGGAGTTGACCAAACAGATTTGAGAATTTTCCTCATAGAGTTGGTGGTTGAAATAGTAAGAAGGGATTTTTTTTTTAAGAGAGGATAAAAAACAAAAAAGGAAAACAAGAAAAGCTACTTTACTTCTTGACATCCTTCTCCTTTTTCTGTGAGGTTTCCCACTCAACATCGTTGGTTACATTTCAAATATCCTATTAGTTTTGGCTGTGTGAGGGGATGCGGGAAAGCTTTTGTGGCATTGGCATTTTAAGTGGTGTTGAAGAATGCATAGGGTTTTGATGCATACATATAGTCAGGGATGGCAGATTGGAGCAGAGCATTGGAAGAGGAGAAACCGAGAAAGTAGTAGGAGGGAAATGCCTTGGCAGTGTAGTGTATCTTAACTGGACAGCCTCCCAGTAGAACAGCATGCTGCTGATGGTGACTGTCCCTTACCTCTCTGGTATGCATGGCAGGAGTTTACCACTGAGAGGAATATGACCGTGGCACTTGTTCTCTGCCTGGCATGGTTTAAATTAAAAAGAAAAAAATTAATTGAGAGACAGAGCGCAAGCAGGGGAAGAGCAGAGAGAGGGAGACAGAATCTGAAGCAGGCTCCAGGCTCCGAGCTGTCGGCACAAGAGCCCAGCATGGGGCTTGAACTCATGAACTGCTAGATCATGACCTGAGTCAAAGTTGGACACTTAACCAACTGAGCTACCCAGGTGCCCCTTAAAATTTTTTTAATGTTTACTTATTTTTGAGAGAGCTAGTGAGTGAGCATGTGCAGGGGAAGGGTAGAGCAAGAGGGAGACACGGAGTTTGAAGAAAGTTCCAGGCTCTGAGCTCTCAGTGGGGCCAGAACACGGGGCTAGAACTCACGAACCATGAGATCATGACTTGAGCCGAAGTCTGCATAGAATGGTTTAATGAATTTTTTTTCCTAACCAGTTGCTTCAGATACTTGGGATCTGATAAAAAACTAGGGCGCCATGAATAATGGTGTGGAAGGAAATAATAGAAGAAAACCTATAAGGGTGTGTTCAAACTCTTCTGACATTTAAGACTTTACAAAATGTGTCCTTTGATGTATGTTTCCAGCTTCACCTCTTTTGGCTCTACACTGTGGCTCTGGTCATTTCTCTCCTTACACCTCTACTATTCATGTTTTCCAGCTGGTTATCTGGTAAACTTAAGGTTTCTTCAAGTCAGGCTCTCATATTATATCCATGAAAACACATCTGACCTCTTTTCATGAGAACTGAACGTTCCTATCTTTATACTTTTATATTCCATGGTTTGTACTGTTTTAAACTTTTCTCTCATTACATTAGCTGGTGTTTCATTTTTTTTTTTTTAATGGTTTACTTATTTTTGAGAGAGAGAGAGAGAGAGTGAGCAGGGGAGGGGCAGAGAGAGAGGGAGACACAGAATCTGAAACAGGTTCCAGGCTCTGAGCTGTCAGCACAGAGCCCAACGCGGGGCTCAAACCCATGAACTGTGAGATCATGACTTGAGCTGAAGTCCAGTGCTCAATGAACTGAGCCACCCAGGTGTCCCAGCTGGTGTTTCATTTTGAGGCTCCTTGAATGTATAAATACTATTTGTAATTTTCTCTTTTTCTTTTTTATAATGTATGTTTATTTTTGAGAGAGAGAGATTGCACGCGCAAGAGTGAGAGAGCGTACAAGTAAGGGAGGGGCAGAGAGAAAGGGAGACACAGTCCAAAGCAGGCTCCAGGCTTTCAGCACAGAGCCTGATGCAGGGCTCAACCTCATGAACCATGAGATCTTGACCTGAGCCTAAGTCAGATGCTCAGTCAACTGAGCTGCCCCGCTGCCCCTAGAATTTTCTTTCCAACACAAGGCCCAATAAATATTACACCCTTAATAAAAACAGCTGAAATGGTAGGGTGGTCATTATGCCAGATGGTATTGGTGAATCCAGAAAAATGAAAACAGAGAAAGCTACCAAGAGTCTTCAGGATGACCTTCTTGAGCAAAATGATAAAATGTAAATGCCAGTTGGATATAGCCACAGTCGTAATATGTATATGCCAATTGCAAATATTCATATCCATCTTTTAAAATTTTTTCATCTTTTTTGTTGGGTAATTAAAGGTAAAGTGATGCAGTTGTGATACTAACATAATGATTAGAATCATTGAGTAATATACTTATTAATCCGACAATCTGGGGTTTGAGATACGTTCTTGTTCACAACGTATGATAGCAGTAGTTTTGAAATAGGTTAGTTACAGTACCCATTATGGCCAGCAGATGCCTGCAAACACCATAAAATCATTTTGATCAGATTGTTTCAAAAAACATACTGTTGGTTTTTGGAAGTTTATATTGCTGGTCTAGTACAATTGTTTTTGTTTGATTCTTTGCCTTTATTTTTAATTCCAGATGAAGAGAAAATTGAAAAGACATCTTACTTGAAAGAGCCATTTAATATTTTCCTTTCTCAGGTGTTAAGTGTGAATGAGGATGTATACACTGTATGTCATTTAAAAAATTTAGATTAAAATTATGAAAGAGAAGCACTTGTAAATATACTACCATTCTTTTTTTGATGAGGTTGTGAGAATTACATTTTAATCTGTCTTATTCGTATGGTTTTTTCTCCAACGAACACAGGAGAAGTATTCAAAAGGAATAATTCCTCTTTCTGCTATATCTACGGTCCGAGTTCAAGGAGACAACAAATTTGAAGTTGTTACAACACAAAGAACTTTTGTTTTTAGAGTAGAAAAAGAAGGTAAGATTATTTCTTTATTGCTGTAAAAACACTGAGACATTAATTCCTGACCAATCAGAAGACTCATAAACCAATTAAGCTGTAAATGTCAAGAAATCTTTAAATATGTTACTTTTAAATAACTTACATTTTATGTTCTTTTGAATGCCCTAAACAAGTTGATAAGTATTTAATTTTTGTTCACTCTTCTTGGATACAGCAGATACTTAGAATCTGCTAAGTAACAAGAATTCCTCTAAATTATGTATATGTGGCAGTGACAAAAAAAAGTAGGCAAAAATCTCTGCTCCTATGGAGTCCATGTTTTAGCTGTTGTTTTGATAATGCAGAGTAGTTATTTGATATGCAAAAACATTTTTTCTACCTATTAAAAGGTTAGTTTTCTGCAAGTTTCCCTTGGCAGGTTTAACTGAACACATGTCCTACTAATACAGATTTTGGAGTATCTTTTATATTTTTTTAAATTCTTTTTACCTTCATCATCTGCTATAGGTAAGTTCATGGTGAAAATTAGATGGCATGTGGTTGGTTTGTGGATGGAGTCGTTTTAAACCTTTAGATCTTTTCTCACTTTTGGAGGTGGGAAGGAGGGAGAGCCAGGAGACCTAAGAGTTCTCTACTTTGACTGTCAACATATCATCACTGTATATTATAAGATACTCACTGCTTTTAAATAATATAGGTAAGGCCATCTTCATTAATTAAAAAATTATAATTTTAACTTATTGTAAAGGTTTTATTGTAGTATAGATTATAGCTCAGCTTGATTTTGAAAGTAGTTGGTACTTAATTATTTGTATAATGGTGATATGGAGAACTTACTAAATATTTGGTACATGTGGTAATCTGTGCTTCATTTTTCACAGTGATCTTGTGAGGGATATAGATGTTACAATTATCCCATTTTACACATATCCCATTTTACATTTATATAAACTATAACAATATTAGCTATGTTGGGAGCAGTATTTGTCTTGTTTATACTGCTAGATTTCGAGAACATATACCAGTGCATGGCAAATAGAAAACATTCGATGAATCTTATATATTCCTAGAAAGCTCTCATTATTCCTTGTGATAATCAGTAAATCATAAATTCCAGCTGTTCACACCGAGACAGCTTTGGGTTTTGAGTGACTCACTATTCATTTGTGAGATTAACTTGGTGGTTTCTGATGGTATTCAAGAAAAAAATCCCTCCAAAACAGGAAAATGAACATGGAATAGTATAAGAAATATCAAAGTGCCTTGCTTCTAGTTAGCATTGTGTTGTGAGAGCTACCTAGGTATATATTGCACATATGTAATGGAAAGAGTGTTTCTTACTTGATTTTCTATTTAAAAAAACCATTGTGAGCTATTGTCTCCAGAGGGGGTAGGCAGGCCATGGCTTATATCCTGAATCTGGCCACTGCTTGTTTTTGTAAATAAAACCTTTTAGATCATAGCCAATGTCATTCATTTACTTATGTGCCTCAGGCAGCACTGCGTAAAGTTGCAGGTTTCGTGGCCAGGAAAGCCCAAGATATTCTCTTCTTGACAGGGTATCGTGATGATCTTTCCTTATGCTTTGGTTTCCTCTGCCCAGAAGGTGACTGTCTGTTTCTTTGAGGTGCTTATCACTTTCCCCTTGGCTTCTCAAAATGAATTTCGCATATGCCACATGGCTTGCATGTTAAGATAGACCATACTAAGTAAAGCTTCCAACCTGTGTGGAAATCTGTTTAGCCATATTTACTTACTGTAGTTAAAAGTTAAACAGACTTTAAGTAGAATGTATCAACCCACACATTTCAAAGTTAAGTGTTTACAATCCACCAGTGTCCTCCTATGATATGTAGTTCATGTGTCATTCATATATCACATAATTGATAAACAGTATAATAATTGCATTAAAACTATGGTATACATTACTATTTGTTAAATAAACTTAGGTCTCTAAGTTTTAAAGCGTGAAAATACTGTTTCAGTAAAAACTGAGACTGTCCAAATGGAATTACCGAGTTATTTTCATTGAAAGTCATTTTTACATAGTAACTGACATTTTTAAAGATAGATATACATAGATATACATAGGTGTGTGTGTAAATAGTGTATGTGTGTTGATATATTTACTATGGGACCTTCAACAAGATGCTAAATGTTTTATTGTTTTTTTCTCCTTTTGTGAATACAAATGATTGATTACATTTTACTTTCTGAGAACTGAGAAATCAACCTTAGTGGCTTATGAATTATTTGACTTAATGAATTTTAAGCCAAATGAAACTTTACTTCAATCTAATCAAGAAGCAAGATGAAAGTTTAGAACACAAAGGGGAAATGGTTTGACATACTAGCAGAAATGAATTCTCGATTTTTGGTGAGAAGGTTCTGAAGGTCCTGTGTACAACATCTGCCCTTTGTCTCCCCAGTGTCACAATTTCTAAGCTGCTGTGTTGCCCACCAACATTGCTTAGATAGGATTACAGTTTAGCGTCTTTTTCCCACAAATTTTCAAAGGCTTCAATTCCCCCATGTTTCCTAGAGCAGTATTATTATGCTGTTAGTTGAAAGTGAATTATATTGAGGTAATAGCATTTTAAAAATACTCCTCCCAAAATTAAAAAAAGAAAATTAGTTGGATTCATTTGTCCTGGAGCAGAACCATTGGAATTGGCCAGAGGGACCGTTATAACCACCGATAATCTTTCCAGCCTGTATTCCCCTGGCACCTGTGATCACACATGCAGGTGCGTTACTTCAAAAAGAAGTTGATGTTTTGAGTCGGCGGTTTGCATCCTTAGAAAAGGGCTTAGGAATTCTGAGTGGTTATCATTTGTGTTCTGGGCCATTTTCAGTACTGGCTTTCAGCCACAGTCTCCTGCTCCTGTCTACCTAAGCTTATTCTAAACCCGTTGGATGCAAGCAGCTGGTTTTCCTTTCAACTCTGTTTCCAGACAGCATTTTACAGCCCTCCAGTGGCAGCTGTGATATTGCAAAGCATTTATTTATTTATTTATTTATCTGTCTGTTTATTTATTAACATTTGGGTTAGAAACATACATTTCTCTTAGTTATTGTGGACAAGTAGACTTACCTGCCTTGAAATAGTCAATGATTTTAGAAGCAAGTCATGGAACATTATTAACTGGCTGGAGTGAGAGCTAGGGGAATTCTAAGTTCTTCATTGTTGGGGCAGCTGGAGTGGCTCAGTCGGTTAAGTGTCCTACTCTTGATTTTGACTCAGCTTATAGTCTGACAGTTCGTGGGATCCCCATGTTGGGCTTTGCTTTGACACCATGAAGCCTGTTTGGGATTCTCTATCTCTGCCCCTTTCTGTCCCTCCCCTGCTCTCACTTTCTCTCTCAAATAAATAAACTTTAAAAAAAGTTCTCCATTGTATACATTGGTGGATTATTGCAATAGGTCACAAACTGTGGAGTCATTCTTGAATCTTTTTTTCCATATCTCACATCCAGCCCATCAGCATATCTAATCATTTGACTTTGGAAATATACCTGGATTCTTCAGTCATTACTACTCTAATGCAAGCCACTGCCTCTCCCTGGGTTTTGGAATAACCTCCTTTGATCGACTGTAGGCCTGTTTTTCTGCATAGCCTGTCAGGGATCATTCATCAAAGAAGTCAGCTCACGTCCATCCACTTCAGATGCTGTGCTGTCTCTCCATCTCGCTGAGAGTAAAGTACTAATGTCCAAGAGCCCCTACGTGCTCTGGCCTCTGTGTCCTTATCTCCTCCTGTGCTCTCACTCACTGCACTTCAACAATTCTTCTGTTCCTTCAACATGTCAGATCTGTTGCCCCAGGCCATTGACACTGGCTGCTTTCTTTAACCTGGAATGCTCTTCCACCAGCCATCCTCCCAACTTGCTTCATCACTTTCTCTTTTTTTAGGTTTTTGCTTAACGATTTTGGTATGCTAATATAACTGGTTAGCAATTACCTTCTTTCTGAGTGTTTTTCGAGTACCCAGCATAAGAACTTATATTTCTTATGTCCCTCATCCCTTGCTTTATTTTGTTCCATTGCACTTGTCACTGTGTAATAGATTACATATCTTTGTTTTATTGCCTACTCTTTTGACCAGGGGGAAAACTCCAGGAGGCTAAGGCTGTGGTCTGTTTTGTTCACGCTTCCATTCCTGGTATTCAGAATAGGTCTTAGAACCTAGTAGGCACTTATTAACCTAGTAGTAAATATTTGTATGAATGAATGGTTATTAATTTCATAAATAGCCATGGTATATGCAGTTACTTTCTTCCTTAAAACTGATCATGGGTTACATTGAAGAATCTTTGGTTATATTATAGCATATCAAAAGTAAAGGTCAATCTAAACTGTTATGTTCTGTCACTAATCTTATACACAGCCCTTATGAGGTAATCCCTAGTATAATCAATCCTTTATGTTACTGATGAATATGCCTACTTCTGCTTCTAAATGCAGTGGTCAGAGAATATTGTCTCTCCTGTTTTATTGTTGTTGTTTCTTACTTTTTTGGTTTTTTTAAAATGTTTATTTATTTGAGAGAGTAAACATGCATGAGTAGAGGAGGGGCAGAGAGGAGAGAGAATCCTAAGCAGGCTTAGTGCTGTCAGCCTGGAGCCCGATGTGGGGCTCCATCCCATGAACCATGAGATCATGATCTGAGCCGAAATCAAGAGTAGGACACTTAACCAACTGAGCCACCCAGGCTCCCCTTTACTTTTTTGTTTCTTACACTAGTTGGCATTCATTCCTGAAAACCTCAAAAACTAGTTTGAGGGAATCATTATCTTTTATTTACATTCTAGAATAATTATAAGAAAGTGGTGATTTTGTTTGTTTTCCCTTTTTCCAGCCCAGAGTTCTATACTTTGAGCAAAGCCATATTTAGGTCAGAGCATATTCTCTAAGGAATAGTGCTTAGCACAATGCTAAGATCAAGTTAGACACTAGGTAAATATTTGTTGTTGGAAAGAATAAAAGAATCTTGGTGTGAAGAGTAGGGAGGAGCATACTATCTAGTTTTGCCCAAGACACTTAGCCCAAGGGAAAAATCAATATTTGACTCGGAATATTATGGCTTGCCAAAGCATGTTCCCCATGTCTAAGGATACACACATTGCACAATCAAATACCAATGATGCTTGTAATCTGTTTTATTATGTTAGAATTTTCCGTATCACTGTTTATCTCCATTGGCATAGGTAATTAAGAATAGACGGAATGTTACTATTAATTCTTGTATTTACTCATGACTGTTTACTTCCTATTAGTAAATGAGGCCCTCAGGAGCTAGATAATAGTTCTAGGCTATAAGAGAACCATTTGTTAAGACGTAACCATAATATGCTTAAGTCCAACAGCTGCAATTGCCAGTTTCAAATTATTTTCCTGAGAAACTGAGATCTATAATAACAATAGGAGCCATAAACAGTTTGCCTACTTCATAAAGTTATGAGTGTTACCAAATGAAATAAGTCAGAGAAAGACAAATACCATGATTTCACTCATGTGGAATTTAAGAAACAAAACAAAATGAACAAAGAAAAAAGACAGAAAAACAGGCTCTTAAATATGGAGAACTAACTGGTGGTTGCCTGGAGGCAAGGTGCATCAGGGACAGGGATGGGTGAGACAAAGGGGATTAAGACTACACTTACCTTGAGCACTGAGTAATGTATAGAATGGTTGAATCCTGTTGTACACCCGAAATTAATAAAACATTGTTAATTATATTTCAATAAAAAAGAAAAAACCTAAGGTAGGTTTCTTTTCAATCAAAGAATATGACTTACATTTCAAACTAAATGACTTATGCAGATTAATACAAATAAAAAACATTCTATGCTGTTTACTTGGCAAGAATATTTTGTGTGAAACTAATGATCACAAGTAATAACCAATAGAAGTCTTGTTGTTACTGAAAATGTAAAAAATTATCAGTGCACTCTGGATCTGTGCATGTGGATCTAAAATGTAGAGTACGGGCACTAGGGTGGCTCAGTCAGTTGAGCATCTGACTCTTGATTTTAGCTAGGTCATGGTTCGTGGGGTCATGCCCCTTGTCAGGGATTTTCTCCCTTTCTCACTGTCTCAGTGCACCCTCCCTGCTCTCTCTCTCTCTCTCTCTGAAAAAAAAAAAAGAAAAAAAAAAAAACTTTAACATGTAGAGTTAGTGCTGCATATTGACATTTACTTACTTGAATATTTTCATGTGCTTTAGTTTCTAATGATGCTGAGGAATTTGGATAAATAGTTCCTCCTGAAAATGTTATGCTGAGAGACACAGAGACCAACCGAGATCACTGAAGCCGAACCGAATTAAGGGAGTCCAGCACTATACAGAGTTAACATAGAATGCTAAATGTGTGGCCCTGAGCCCAAGGACTTAGGGCTTTTTATAATGAGCAAGCAGGCAAGTGGGCAGTACAGAAGCAGAATTGACCAGTTATTGTAAAAAGGCTACAAAGTGATAAAGAGAACAGCCCTTATCCTGGTGTGTAGGACAACATTTGTTATTTTGAAGGCAGGGTTTAGGGTTGTAGGGGAGTTTCAGGGAATAGCCATTATCTAAAGGACAGAATATGCAAACTGTGTCATAAATAACCATTATCAGGGAACATTAACCCTTGTCTTCTTACTTGTTTTTTCCTTGCACCTGAGGATAGTCATGTAGTCCTCCAAGTGCAGGCCCAGAAGGTAAACTCTGGGTCAAGATGGAAGGGCTGAGGCTAAATTCATGTGCAGCAATACTTGGGCACTATAACCTGGGAGTTAGATGTAAAGCCTTGTTGAATGAGGTTTAATAAATACTTTGGTCTTGGTCATTCAGTGCACAACTGATTTTAGTAGTGTTGAAGGTGAGCAGGAATAAAGATCATTTAAAATTGAGTCTTAATTATAAAATAACTTCTCATTATTCGAGTAATTCGAATGCAAGGGTTCATGTTCGAATACAAGCAAGTCTAATATGGAGACTTATTTCAGTCCACAATAGAGTAATTATGTCTAGACCAGTCTTTGAAATAGTATCCCATTTTCCAATCTTGGGCCAGCTTATTTTTTCCTTCCTCTTCATTCTTGATCATTTTTCCTACCTGGAATTCTGTCTGTGGTTTTTTGTTTGGTGTGTGTGTTTGTGTGTGTGTGTTTGTTTTGTTTTGGTTTGGGCTTTTTTTGCCTTTTCCCTTTTGCCTTGATAACTACTTCTCCATTTGTTTTTTGCTAGCCCATTTTCCAGCCTCATAGATATAGTCATACCTCAAGATTTGTCCATTTCATCTCCCTTTACCTTAAACGTGTATCCACTTCCATGGATGTTCTTTTGTGTAGGCCACTTCAGTCACACATTGTTCAGTCCACCTAGATGCTCCTGCCAGGGCACTGAAAACCTGGGGTGGTTTTCTCAACAAAATGAAACTTACATTCTTTGGTCAAGTCAGGGTACTAAGCTATCTGATAATTTAAACTTGTGTGAATACCTGTCAAACGTATTTAAAACTTCAACTATTTTTTTCTGTCCCTCAGTGTCTTGACCTCTCAGGTATTCTTTTGTTTCCATTTTCATTGTACTTCAAGCCTCTCTTCCCTTATTTCTGATCTCCAAGCTTAGTCTGCCTATCATCATGCTAATCATGTCACTTCCTTGCTAAGAATCGTGGCTTTTTTTTTTTTTTCCCCCTCTGTAATAAAGTTTGGAGGCAAAATTCCTTACAGGTACTGCAGAAGGTGTAGCCATATTTCCTATTATTTCTTTGTGAGTTCAAAATTATCAGTATGCTTCTCTTTAAGTCCCTGAACAGATGTTGGTTCTTCCTGCCTTTGTTCTTGTGTTCTTTGCTTAGAGTTATAAAGTTCTGCTCTTCCCTCACCAAACCCCAGTTTTCTTTTCAAATGCTCCTTCTTCCAAGAACTAACACAGTCTTTTTTTTTTCTATAGTGCTGAAAACAATTGAGAGTTAAAATATTTGATTCTGTTAATTTTACACTAGCTGTATGACATACTTCAGCAAATCACATACCTCCATTGAATTGATTCATATGATATCATTTGTATGACATTTATAATATTCTGTGTTCTGTGTTCATATCTAACTTGACTTATGACTTTGATTGCTCTTTGGGGACGAGATCAAATTTCTGTGCCCATGATGCAGTGTGTTATGCATAGTTGAAGGTCACTCCACTTTTGTAGAGGGAGAAAACTAAATTTTAATTTACCAAATGAGATGCTATTTTAGTTTGATGAGAATAGATTGAGTGACTATCAAGTCTGTGTACTCTTAGGCAGAGTAGGCTCTAAGTAACAGAAGTAAGATTTTCTGGGCATTTGAGTACTTTAATTGCCAGGTAAAATCTGTTAACTGGTTTCAATATTACTTCCGTTAAAACAAAATCCAGTCTCATAAATAATCTATAAGAGTGCATCTTAAATATTAACATGGATTCAGATCACCTGGGGATCTTCTTAAACTGAATATTCTGATTCATCAGGTCCAAAGTGGAGCCTGAGATGTTGCATTCTAATAAGCTCCCAGGTGAGGCCAGTGGTATTAGTTACAGAACACCTGTGTAGCCTTATTTCTTTTCTCTTACAGAATAGGGCCATTGGCTCTGACTGCAGTAGCATTTAGATTGCAGTTGTGGGAAAGAATCTGTAAGTGATGTGTTACAGAGAGAATAGATCCTTTGCCATGTTTCTGTGTCTGTATAATTTATATGAGTATGGATGTATTTTCTCCTGTCTTCATTTTCAGAGGAGAGAAATGACTGGGTCAGCATACTGTTAAATGCACTGAAATCGCAGTCCCCTGCCTTACAGTCTCAAGCAGCTGCTGCACCTGAGAAATGTGGATATCTTGAACTGAGAGGGTACAAAGCCAAAATTTTTACTGTGTTAAGTGGAAACAGCGTGTGGCTTTGCAAAAACGAACAGGTGAGGAGCTATGTTACAGCAACTGGAATTTGTGGTTCCTTGATTGTATTAACAACTATGCTTCGTTAGACTTATTAGTGTCTTTACTTATAGGGTCTTGCTTTTGTCTTGAGTACTGCACTAAATATAACAAAGTGTTGTTTTGTAGAATTTTCTCAGTTCCTCCAATGGCAGGAACATAATCTACATCAAATTTGAGGTTAGACATCATCTTTTTAAGGGACTGACAAGATCATTGAAAATAATTTTTGAAGAATATTCCTTACCTGAAGTAATGTTATAAAACTACATGAGGTAATAATTAAGAACCAATTAATCATTCGGCTGTTGATGAAATAGGCTCAGTTCTGTACCTGTTGTTTCTTGTGTGATAGAAAATTTTAAGAGTAGGCACAGATGACATATTTTGAGTTTCCAGCATTTTAATTTATTTCTTTGAGCAGATATGTTGCTTGCAGAGGAGATAATTTACTATAGACAAGTAGTTCATATATGCATACACAAACACATACATGCCAAATATAAAATAGGCTTGAGTTGTTGACTTAATAGAGAAGTTAAGTGTTTTGAGGAGACTGATGTTAAAGTTCTGACAAATTCAGTTAAATTTGATTGAATAGACTTACTTTTCTCTGACCTATCTGGTTTTCAATATGTATTGGAAAATACTCCTTTTGTGGATTGAACTCTTAATCTTTTAGCCTAAAATGTAATAGATACTTAGTAATTTGTGGAATTACACAATGTGCTTTGGATATCTGATCCAAGAGGAACTCATTTTGTAATACATCATAATGGGTTATGATTAGCTGGGATCTAAATATTTTCATAACAAAAATAGAGATATAAATTCAAAACAAATGGTGGTTTTAAGAAATTAACTATAGATCTTTAAGGCATTTTCTGAACTTCAGCATGATCTTATTATATTTTTTGGATAAGATTTCTTAGCCAATTAACTGTAAAAGGCATCATTGAGCACTGTTGGCATATTAATAACTTGGATAGTTAGCATATTCCTCAAGAAGAATAGTGATGTACAGCTTATAATGTGTATGAACTGAATATGAACATTTTTAGCCTGTGAAGTAAGATGATTAAAACTTTTCTCATTGGAATGGAGTTTAAAAATGCATAATTTGCATTTATTGGTATGGAAGTTCCTCTGCCAGATTAATTGAGGTGTTCATATTTTACTTGCACAGACTTGATGGACTTCAAATATTAGTTTCATTGCTTTCTATTAGCTAGATTGTCTAGGTTTACATTAATTTCCTAAAGTAGATTTTTTTTAAAGTTTTATTAACATTCTCTATTAGAAAGAAGTTATATGAAATTATTGCTTTAATATTAGCAATTGAACATAAAAAACATAATAATGATTACCACCTGGTGAGTACCAGGTATTGTGCTATTTAATTTATAAACATTTCCTTTTAATCTCACCCATAGATATAGGAGGAAGGATATTCTCCTCTGTATTTTATAGATGAGGAAAATGAGAATTGAGTAAGGATTACAGATCTTCATGCATAACAAAACCAGAAGTATATGACTCTAAGTCTAGCATCTTAGCCACTATACCAAACTGACTTTTTAAAATGTGTATTGAAAAGACCATTTCTGGCCTATAATCTATTGGAGATAGACTAAGCTTCTTTCCTTGAAAAACTTAGTTGCTTAGGAGGCTCGGAGTGTGCATTCAGTATACATTCTACCAGGTGAGGTAGTCTGCAAGGTATACACTTGCTGAGGACACATATCCTGTCTTCCAAGATGAAAAGTTAGACAGGACCAGTGTTTTTAATGGATAGTGAGCCCAGTGCTTTATTAGGCTCATGCAGAAGTTACGTAGAAGTGCAAAAAAGGCATCTAATGGAGTCTCGAGATTAGAAACAGTTCCATGTACACAGGTAATGAATATATACTCTTAAAAATGAAAGCATTAATGCTGGACCCCTTATCTTTGAGACATACACCTATTTTCAGTTATGTATATTTAGGTTCCTTTTCTATGCACTAACGTGCCTTTACATACCCTTAAAGAATACATACTGTTGCTTGTGTATGTGTTATTTTTAAAAAGTTGCATCATGATATATGGAGCTGGTTCTTAAGGGACTTGTTCTTGAGTCAAGTCTTGAACTAGTTGGCTCAAGACTGAATGGACAAATTAAGGAAGGCCTTCTGTGTTTAGGCCCTAACTTACCATTCCAGTTTCATCTGTGTTACATCGTGGTGTATCCTTTTCTCCAGGGGAAAGTTGCCCATTGGTTTTTTCACATGGTTGAACAGATTGTGTGAAGAACTTGGGTGATGTGCTAAATGGGGAGTCTTTCTCCTGAATGCAGAGGGCTTTAATAATGCTTGCATTTAGGAAAAGCACTAAAAGATAATTGTTCAAAGCAACTTCTGGAAGTTTTAATTGTACAATCCATTAAGTAATCTTGTGTTTTTTTAAATATGGAAAAAATCTACTTATAAAAATGTAAGAAGTGTTACACCGGAAACATGTCAATTTTAATTCTCTAATAAAAATAAAAAGTAAAAAGTAAAAAGTAAAAAAGGTGTTAGCTTTGAATTTCTATATCTAAGTTTGAATTGGATCTAATTTGGTTACATGCATCAAAGCTAAATTATTTTCATTTTTAAACTTTTAAAATAGTGGATTTATTGCCCACATAACTTACAGTGTGAATAGAATTTAAAAAATAAGGAAAATTGACCTACACTACCCTAACATATGAACTATTTTTATTTTTCTTGCCTCTGTTTATACATATTTATAGTAATTTACTCAGGAGGTCATTCCAGAGAGAGTAAACAGTTGGATAGAGGTGGAAAGGTAGCATATGTTGAAGAATTATTTAAATGGAAGGTGAGACGTTCATTTAGAGCAAAGGAGATGGACAGAGTAGCGTTCTGGGTTTTCATTCTTTCTCTGCTACTAATTGGTTCAGATAATTAAGTTAATGTCTTTATGTTTAAATGATGTCATGTAAAGAAGAGAGATCGCTTACTATCTCTGAGGCCATTATTGAAGTTGAGTGTTAAAATTCCAGCTATCTGGGCTCATTCCAGACTGTAGACTTAGAATTTCTGGGGATGGAATGTTGGAATTCACATTGTATAAAGCATCCCATATGATTCAGTGACATGTGATCCAAAAACTACACCACACACTGAAACACTGGTCTGAGGTTTCTGTGTTTTTGGGTTTTTTTCCCCCCCTTTAAAACATGATAAGCGTTTAGGTAAAGAGAGCAAGATATTTTGGGATTGCAAAATGGGTAAAAATAGCCTGGAAACAACATTGGGTGCTTCATCATCCTTCAACTTGGGATTGTTATACTTCTTTTTTTTTTTTTTTTTTATTTATTTCTAGGAGAGAGCGAGAGACAGTGTGAGCAGGGGAGGGTCAGAGAGAGAGGGAGTCACAGACNGACGCGGGGCTCGAACCCACGAACCGCGAGATCATGACCTAAGCGAAAGTCGGACGCTTAACCGACTAAGCCACCCAGGCGCCCTTGTTATACTTCTTTTTGTGATTAACTTTCATTTTTAAGTATAGCTTTTTTCTCATTGAACATTTTGAAATGTTCAATGTCCAGCATTTAAGTGGAACGTTAAGATGATTGGTATTAGTGGGAATGAATTTTGAAAATTTGAAGAACTATTATTAATTGTGCATAGTTTTGAAATATAGGTACTGGTATTTATTTATTTTTGCTAAAATCTCAATTTTTAAATGAAATTACAGATTTTAGCTTATAAATCCTAAAATAACATTTAATTTTTTCTTTCTTAGCATAAACTTTTATTGCCAAAGTATGATCTAGTGGAGTAAACTCCATTTGCCAAGTCAGCATAAAGGGGACAGTGTTTCGAAAACAGTTTGAAATTGTTTCATTTCCCATAAGTTCTTTGAATCTGTCTGTAAGTGTATTCTAATTTTGTGGATTATTTTTAGTCCTTTCCAGAGCTTTCTCTCTACTTCCAAAAGGTTTCCTTAAGATTCCATGTCAAGCATCCTTACAAATATATTTTCAGTAATTCGCTTTTTCTGGATCTGTCCCTTCTACACAATCAGTAGCTTAAATTTTCTAAGTTAAAATAGTTATTAGAACAGGCTGTTGTAATTACTGCCTTTTTAAAGAGACATGGTATAATGGTAGCAAGGGGAATGCTAGTCTTGGTCCCCTCATGGACACTGTCGTGTCTCAACTCTGTGGAATTAACATGGACTTTTCACTTTCCCAGTTGCTCCCTTCAGAGGTTCATTATTTTCTTTCACCTCTGCCTCTCCCTTTCATTCATTAGCAGATTGTAGCAGCTGGAACTTGCAGAAGCTCTGGAGTGAGTAGGAGAAATGCCTTAGGGGATCTTATTTCTGTGACAACCCCTGCCTCTCCCCATCCCAGGTTGTAAAAAGTAGAAGAGAACTATGAAGATATATGTAAAAACATTTGTTAGAGAGGACTTTTGCAAAGTTGAACCAGACACAAATTCTCTACCTAATTACTCAGTTGCAAAACACTGTGGCGCTGTTATCACATAAATTACATGTCATTTCTTTATTTAACATCATCTCACAAACGCAGTGTTTAATTTTTACAAATAGTGTTCTCTTCTTTGTCTCTGCTTATGTTTTATATGCCTGCAATGTATTATAATTATGATAATTTTTTTTCAGTGTTTCTTCAACTTTTTTTTTTTTTTT